TATTGGTAGCATTATGATTGCATTGGGTTATATTTTTTATTGCTAGTGTTAATGAAAGAAATGTGTTGCACCTCACCCTACGTAGCACTGAGGCCAGGGCCCTCTTATCCACTTGGCAAAGATGATCGACACCCATTAGCAGATCAGTCGATCCACTCACAGCACTGGAACTACTTCAATGAAGCCCTACTCATAAGCGACTAGTCCACGAAGCGCAGTCTGAAGCCCATCCTTTTTGCCATGCTGAAGTTCTGAGTTCTAGGGCACTCAGCTTCGGAAGAGTCCGAGGCCCCTCCACTTGGTGCCGACCTGTGCAAGGAAGATCTGAGATTTATGTACGAAATATTTTAGGAATGATTGTTGGGATGCTAATAATGAGTATGAATGTCAAGTCTTGTCAACAAAAGTGACGACTTTGGTAAGCATTGAGTGTACCACAGGCTAGCAAGTCAAAATTGATGCCTGTGATTAGATGTTGAATTAAGGAGGTGAGGCCACGTGTACTTCTCTATTTGTAACACTATAAATACCCCTAATGTAACATAAGAAAAACTAATGCAACTCTTAACTCTACCTATCAAAAAAAAAAAAAAAAATGCAACTCTTGACTCTATAAATTACTCTTTATCTTCTTTCTTGCAAACTACATATTTACTCAACCATAAGTTCATGTTATTTAGTTTTGATTGAGTTGTTTGTAATTGGTTATCATAATACAATCGTTTCATGAATCTATTGCTAGAATCCGAACACATTTTTCTCACGACGTTGTGTTTTTCCTATACCCACGCTTTCAGAGTACTGTCAGCCAAAAACTCGTGATCATGTACCGAAATTTGCTTTCGTGTGTGCAAGTGACCCACGCATCTATTGTCCACATCGTCCTTGCAAAAAAGGAGATCAAAAAAATGCATATAATAGATATAGAACAATTTGAATACAATGTTTTTAAAGATTTCTCATATTTAAAAAAAATCACAAATATTTAATTAATTAAAAAATATCAAATGTTTTGTTCAAATTTACAAAATGGGATTTGTTGTGTCTTTGTCTTGTAGAGATATTCCCCTCACAAACCAGAAATTAAACAAATATTAAAACTTTAGGACACTCCACTCAGTGTATCAGGCACGTATCCTAAGGTGTTGGGGAAGTGTCGTCACACATCGATAATTCATGAAGATATATAACACATAGAATATGCAGTGTGGTGTGTTGGGGGGTCATTGTTCATATTCAATAAGTGTTGGGCACCTATACAACAAGAAGTGTTTGTGTCTGTTGACCACAAATTACTTCATTAAGTGTTGGGAACTCCATACAATGAGGAGTTTTTGTGTCTGTTGACTACAAAATTACGGTCAATAAATTCCTCTCACCTAGCTAAGATTTTCTCCTCCTAATCTCACTCTATTTGATGCTCAATAAGAAGCAAAAGAGAAAATAAGTATTTGGGAGGGTGATATTTTAATTTGCATCCCTTTCTTCTTCTAGGTAAGACCTATTTATAGATTTCCCTTTGTGATTTTCGAGGCAGTTAGGTCTTTTATTATTGACAAGTGGTCGTCACTCAATAGGGAATTTATAACTATTCTCTTATGCATTCACGTTTTATTCACCACTTAAGTATTCTTTATTCACTGGCCTCAAAGTCATTATTTAAATATATACTCACGTGCTTTGATAACATCTTTTGCCAACACGGAATATTATGGCTATTTTTTGTTATCCTTAATTGCAAGCTTTTATATTTCATGGATATTTTATCTTTTGAGGTTCATATATTGCTATGTTGCTCGGACTCTACAAAAATGGAGAAGTATTCGTGTCGACATGACATGATATGGATATTGACACGGGATATGGATTGAATCCTCCGTTTTACACTTGGACACGACTAGAAGATAACAGACGGTGTCTTGCTTCTCTGGCGACTGAAAAATTCGTAGAGAAAGAGAGATATTTGGGGAAGACAATGAATTGGGGAAGACAATGAATTGGGGGACGGTGAGATTTAGAGGGATTGAATGGGCTTTTGAGAAGTCCAATGGATATAGTTAATGAGAGTGCATTAAATGGACCTTTGTGAAGTCCAATGAATGAGTTAATAAGTATATTTTTATATAATTTAATTTGAGCTTATTTTTATATAATTTCTTATTTCTTATATTTTATCTTTATGAACATTTTATATTTTAATTAAAATGAATTAGTGATATATCTTTTCATGGGTATTAAATTTAAATTTATTTCTATAATTGTTTTTAAATAATATATAAGACATTGGAATTGATTTTTTTCCTTAAATTTTTGGAAAAGAATTTATTTTGCCTTTAAATTTAAATTGATTTCGAATTATAATCCAATTGTTTAAATTAATTTTATCGAAGGAGTTGATAAACAAAATAAACAACGAATTCATTTTTTTAACAACCAATATCAATTAATTATGTTTACAAGTTAATTTAATATTTTGGTTATATAATTTAATTGAACTATTTTTCTCTTTGTTATTTTGGCATTGTTCTATGAATTTAAAAATAAAAAAATTGTAAGAAGTATCCCCATACCCGTATTCAAAATTCGGATTCTTTTTAACTGTATCCTCATATCTTAATTTTTATAATGAGGAGGATCCAACTCCTAGATATGTACCCGTATCCGATACTAGCACCCGTGTCAAAGCATCATATATATATTGTTGGGTTTGCATAAAGGGTATGAGCTCACTTGCTCATTTCACTGTGTTTATTCAACAGTATCCAGAGCATCTCTCTCTCTCAAACATGGCCTCTAGCACATAATTTCAATTAAGTGATTTGATTAGATATACTTTGTAATTCTAGTTTTATAGTTATAGAAATCTTTTCGAAATAGACAGTTCACGGTACTTATCCTTGACTTCCTTTTTCCGTCTAACTAAGTCATTGTCCTGTTGATCTTTTATTTTTATTTTTTTATGAGTTGAAATTATTTGTGAGTGAGGCAGTTGCGAAGGGATTTTATTAAAAGATATAATCCCACATCAAATAAAGATAAAAATATGGACCAACTTATGAGGACTTGTGCTAATCCTTTTAACAAAGGTTGTCCTTTTAAGATAGAACTTAAAATCTTAACATGGTATCAAAGTCTATTAAACTCTAATGAACAATCCGATTAAGACTCAATAAATGAGCTTCGGGGGCGTGTTAAGAGGTATAATCCCACATCGAATAAAGATAAAAATATGGATACTCCTCTTAACAAAGGTTGACTTTTTAAGATGGAACTCAAAGTTTTAACAGATTTCAAGCTTTGTCTGTTTAAGTTATGGATACTACTTTGGATTGTATCCTATATAATTGTATAGTCCAGGATGCAAAGGACCTTAGTGATTGGTGCCACTAGCTTGTGTATACTTAAAATTGTTTACCTCTACTGCAGGATCTCAGTGTCAGGACGATCTTTTCAAATTGGTCATACCTCTACTGCAGGATCTTTCCCACCTCACTGCTGAACATCATAGTGCCAGAGAGCCATTGCTTGGTGAATTTAGGTCAACGCAATCTACACCTCCGAAGACAAAAACCACGTTGTGTGTGGTGACCCTTGTTGCATATAGCTAAAATTAGAAATAGTCAATATTTCCATCTTTTCTTGGATCTAGGTTTTGACTTTCTCATACTTTAGGTTTCCTTAATGACGTTCCTCATTGGCGGTCTCAACCTGCAACAAGCGGAGACCAGTAGACATAATATGATTTTTTCAAAATCCAACAAGTGGTGGAGTGTTGCAAGTACAGAGACAACTTTTCAAGGTAACGGAAAGGAAAAGAATATTGCTAACCAGCCAGGGATGAAAACAAGGTTAAAAACAGGGATTTGAAATTTTTGATGATGTGGCAATTATTGCACATTAAAAAAAACAAAACTTGAAACTAAACAATAGGGGGACGACCACAGTTTTCAGGAAGCAAAAGCGAGAAACTTGTGTTGCCCTCCCTCACTCCCGCCACCGCACCCATCGCCGACCGGAGCATCTTCACCGGTAATCATTTGATCTCCATTCATCCCGGCTCCCAAAGTACGAGAAAGCAAAAGCTGGAAACATAAGTTGCGAACCCACCCTCCCTCCCGCCACCGCACCCATCGCCGACCGAAGCACCCATCGTTGACCGAAGCATCTTCACCGGTAAGGAGTTAAGTCCTTTTAGTAGTTTAAACTCAAACGCAGAAATTCGGGACTTCATCCTTGTTCATTAATCAAGAAAGATGAATAGGTTTTATTGTTAGTGGGTATATATTATTCATTGAATTGAAGGGAAAATTTGATTAGGTTTTATTGTTAACTCACTTTAACAATCGAAATCATCAATTTCATCGTAATTTCTGGTTAATTCACTGTTGTAAGTACAATTTGCTGAGTAGGAATTTCATACACGTAGTAGGAAGATATTGTATAGCTTTTTTAACGCAGATGTGGTGTGTTAACGATAATCAGAATGATTGTATTTAAATGGTAAATTGATAGTTTCATTTTTTATTTTTTACGTCCAGGTGGGAGGAGATTTTGGGGATTTCCGAGATTGAAAGCTGCCCGTCGAAGTAGTGACCGGAAAAAGTTAAACGGATAGGATCAGACAGATCTCAGAGTCTTGTTCTCAGATGGTATTCCAATTTCACGGTCAAATTCAGGTACATAATAATTTGCACCTTTTTTGGTATATTTGGTGATTTGGCAATTAGCATTCGTAAAAAGTCAAAAGCTCATTGCTTTAATTTGAAGGGAAATCTTTCGACTGATAACAATATAGAATTTGATATTCATTGAATTGAAGGGAAATTTTGGTTAGGTTTTATTAGGTAGGAAATAGAATTCTATATAATAAAAAATGCAGAGAGAAATCTTTCAAATTTTTATGGTGATAGAGAGCCGAATTGGGATTTGTCCTTCAAATTTTTATGGTTCTTGTAAAATATTGCTATAATGACCCTTTTATTTTTGCAACAGAATAAAGTATGGAAGACGTAAAAGATGAGCTTGTTGATGTTTTGATGGAATCTGATACTGAGAATATTACGGAGTTCGTGAATGTAGTCGAAGACGAAATATCAGGGGGGGATGGGTTACAAGTGCTTGAGGTGGGTATGCTATTTAAGCATGAAGAAGATATATATAACTTCTACAAAAAATATGCTTACGCCGTTGGTTTTCCCGTGAAAAAAAGGAATTCGAAAAAGGGGGAGGACGGAGTATTGAGATACCTAACGTTAACATGTAGTCGTGAAGGACGATTAAATGGTAATATTAGTAGTTCACTGAAGCCGCAACCAACGGTTAAGTTGGGTTGTAAAGCAAGGATATCTGCATCTTCAGATATCTTGGGAAATTGAAGAATTAACGCGGTCCACCTAGAGCACAATCATGAGACAAGTCCATCTAAGTCCAGGTTATATCGATGCAATCGAACTTTAACTGCACATGTGAAAAGGAAGCTTGAAGTAAATGATTTAGCAGGGATTCCATTGCATAAGAGTTACAATTCCACAGTTGTAGAAGCCAGTAGATATGAGAATATGACTTGCATTGAAAAAGATTGTCGGAACTATGTCGAACGAGTTAGGCGATTACGACTTGGAGAGGGCGATGCTGCAGCAATACAATCATACTTTTCAAGAATGCAAGCTCAATGTTCGGGATTTTATTTCAGTATGGATTTGGATGATGATTCGTGACTAAGAAATGTATTCTGGGTAGATAATCAGTGTAGGCTAGCGTACAAGGAGTTTGGTGATGTGGTTACTTTTGATACCACCTATCTTACTAATAAGTATGACATGTCATTCGTCCCCTTTGTTGGCGTCAATCATCACGGACAGTCAACATTACTTGGTTGTGGGTTGCTATCGAATGAGGACACTGAGACCTTCGTATGGTTGTTCAGAACATGGCTTCAGTGTATGTATGGTGAAGCTCCGCAGGCCATAATTACCGATCAGGATAGAGCCATGCAAAATGCAATTGAGATTGTCTTCCCGCAGACAAAGCATAGATGGTGTTTGTGGCATATTTTGAAGAAGCTCCTGGAAAAGTTTGGATACCACGTGGATTAGGGTTTGATATTTGGGGCTATACATGAATTAGTGTATGATTCACAGTCGGAACATGAATTTGAAGAAGGTTGAATGGCGATGATTGACACCTATAGTTTGAAGCAAAATAATTGGTTTTTGGGATTATATGAGAATATAGCGTGTTGGGTGCCTTGTCTTTTGAAAAAAACTTTTTGGGCAGGAATGTCAACAACACAGAGAAGCGAGAGTATGAATGCGTTCTTCGATGGATATGTGCATTCGAAGACATCGTTGAAGCAATTCGTCGAACAGTACAAAAGTGCTCTCAGGAATAAGGTCGAGAAGGAATTTCAAGCTGATTTCAAGTCGTTCTCTCAAATGATACCGTGTGCAACAAAGTTCGAAATGGAAGAACAGTTTCGGTCAGTTTACACCATATTGAAATTTCGGGAAGTTCAAGAAGAGTTCACGGGTAAGGTCTACTGTAACATCATATCTACGTCAGAAGGATATTCTGAGACGACGTATAATGTATGGGAGACTATTATGTATGATGGTCGTTGCAAGAGAAAAAATTGTGTCGTCTCATTTGTGAGAAATAATTGTGAAGTTTTTTGTAGCTGCTACTTATTTGAGTCGAGGGAAATACTTTGTAGGCATGCAATAGCAGTTCTGGACTGGAACGATGTCACATGTATTCCAGATCGTTATATTTTGCGGAGATGGAGGAGGGACGTTCGTAGAGCACACACGAGAGTTCCAGTAAACTATGCTAGGTTAGAGACTACTCCTACACAATTAAGATATGAAGAGATGTCGAAGGAGTTTGCACAGGTGGCAGACCTTGTTGCAAACGACGAAATGCGGTCACGTGCGATAATAGAGTGGATAAAATCACAATGTGAAGATATGATGACCACAAGATCTGGTGGTGGTAGTAATCCCAGCAGGTGTCCAATGATTGTGCGGACGTGTCAAAGTTAGCGAGCGAAAGCATACGGGATACACAAGTAGCTCGACAAAAGGGTGCGCCCAGGAAGCTTAGAAAAAGAAGCCCATTGGAGACAACATCAAAGAAAGCAAAAGTATGCTCGAAAACTGCGCTTTATATTTACAATTGTTTAAATTTATATCTAAGCGATTATCTGTGAATGCAGTCTAGCGGGACATCATCCACTACTATGCGACCAAGAAATAGCAATACGAATATGGTGGATGACGCAATGAACTTTCAGTTGCCTCAACAATATTCCATGCCGACCCCGACGTCGTACTTGCCCAATGACATGTTGACACCATTATCTTTGTCACAACTGTCCATGCCCACACCATTCTCCCTTTCCCAACATGTACCCTTTTGAAAATTTGGTCTCTCCATCCGCGGCTAGTATCATACAAAATTCACAAGGTACAAAATTCATTTTGTTGTGAACACATGATTAATTATTTGTTATGGTATTCTATTGTAGGTCAACCATCAACGAACTACTATCGAAATTTATTGGATCACAGTGGCAGCCTATAGCAAGGGGGCTATGTTTGTGCGATTGGAATTTTTTTAAAATCAAGAGTTTCAATTCACAGTACTCGAATGAAGATGTATTTTGGCATTTCCTAGTATTAAGGCAATTACTACTTTGCCTATTTTGGCTACTTCACAGGTTTTAAGTTGGCTGAATTTTTTTTGAAATGTTTGGCAATTACTACTCATAGTGTATTAGAATATTGACAGCTCTCCCCATACTATCAAAATATGTGATTTCTAGCTGTAATTGTTTATCTAGGTTCAAATTAAGTGTGATTTGATGTAGTAGACAGCTGATCATCTTTGTTCTTGCACTGGCCATGATCAAATAGTATTAATATGCTCTTGGCAGGTGCTGGAGATTATTTATTTAGGGCTCTTGGAAAAATTGACTGATGATGATCACTGCTGTAGCCAATTTCCCAATTTGTTCGGCATATGAATCTTTAGGCTCCAGACTTTTCGCATATTTGTAGCCATGTAAAGGAAGTTATAATGCCTGAACGTGCTTAGAAACTGGATTTTAGCAATTTGGTGTTTTATCCCCCTTTTCAATAACTATTCCATCCCATCCGCATTTTCGTTAATTTCACTACTTTTTTTGTACAAATTCTCGATTTTCTAGCTATTTTGGTGAAAGAATGAAAAGTTGAATTGGTATTGAAGACTTACAAAGCAAGGGAATAAATAATAACTTCCATTCTATAATCTAATGCAATGCCTCAATTATGATCAACTGTTATTTCTACATTTGTTTTGTTCAACGAGTTTTTTAATTGCTTTAGCTTCTTTGTGTTCTGTTGCCATTAAAATTGGTGCAAGTTGCCCCAAATTTTCATTTTGTGTAAATTCGTTACAGAAAATGGGAATAAAATGAATTGCCAAGCTTCAAATAGTTCAGCTGCGAGGAATTGAAATACTTTTGAACAATGATTTGCAATTTCATAAGAAAAAGAACCTGAACCTGGGCTTCGTACATTATAGGCAGCCAATGTTTGCCTTCATTTAAGCTTGTGAACTTGGAATACATAAACAATTCGAATGGAAAGGTATTAAATAAATTAAGTACCATACATAAACTGTAAGTAAGTCTCGAGAGTACAAATGTTTGCCTACAAAAAATGCTTGTTTTGATACCAAGCTATCATGATATACAACCTCGCATCACACAGCTCAACTACTTTATTTAATTCATCACATACAAGACTTTCAACCTCCACAAATAATAAGGACAAGCTCATTCAGTTTTAATTGAGAAAATTAGGCTAGCCACTTCGATAAGTATCTTCAAGTCAAGCTGGCCGCTTAGCTTCCACATTTGCAACAATTTTCTCCTTGATGCTCACGTTAACCAAAATCTGAAGCTCCTCTTCGTCACTTATCCTTACCCAAGACTTGAACATGCGGGACATTTCTTCATCAGTGTCATTCATCACGGGGTTAGGGAATGTCGCGCTATCACGACTACATTGACCGCTTGAGTCTTCTTTCACGACCCACTTCCAAAATCCACAATTCCGGCTACAGCAAAGGAATAGTTTCCCCTTATTGTGATTTTCCTTCTCCACCACAAAACATTTTTCAAATCCATACTTACATCACAAGCAAAGGCGTTTCTTTTTGCATTCGACAAACAAATGATCCTTAGCTCTACAACTATGACAAATTCCGGAGTTCCTTCCAGACATTCTACGATGGGAATAAAAAACATATCACTAGTGTGAAGTCAGTCATCTCAATCATCAATTTTCAATTTTAGTTTATTATGTGCATATGTTCAAATTCTTCTAAATTAATTAATTTATCACTCCCAAGTTCAAATGAATTGTACTCAATTGAGTTAATTCAATATATCTCTACTGTATGAAGATAAATCTTAATAAAGATTACTCAATCACCAAAAATCCAATTAATAATCACAAAATTAGTACAAACATATATTTACCTTCTACCTAAATTTCCATCTTTACACACAGACTAAATAAATAACTTACCCCTTGGCTCGTTATCGTTCACAAATCAATGAATTAGTGATAACAAATTCAAAGCATGATAGAAGAAGTAAAAACAATCTACAAACTAAGATTCTAGTATGCTAGAGATCAAAGCACATACAAATCTCCTAAAGAATAAGACACAAAAAGACACGATTCACCCTTCCAAATGTACGAAGATTTCCCCTCTTCTACGTCAGGTGACTACCGGCGATGGGTGCTCCGGCTGGCGATGGTTGCTCTGGCCGGTCGACGAAGGCGCGCTGGCAAGAGTATTCTTCAGGGTTTGGGAGCAGGGAGCAATGCGAAATCGGTCCTGCAGTACTCCTCTTTTCTTTTATTTTGTGTTGGTTTTTTTTTATTTTTTTTTATTGAATTATGAATAATTGTGGGCCACCACACCAATTTTTAATTGCCTGTTCCCAACCATGTTTTCATCCCTGGCTGAGTAGCGGGATTGTATGTAATTTCTGCTTATGACGATAAAATTCTTTAGTTTATGCATACTATAACTCATCCTATGATTCATTTTCGTTCCCTTGAGTTTTCCTGTCGCGGATTCTTTATTGACGTAGGTTTTCCTATGTACGTGGCCTTTTCTCTCTGAAATGGTTTTTGTCATATAATGTCTCAGAATTGAGTTCATTATAATGTAATTTTTTTGGAGATTTAGTCCAAACTTTATATAATGCAAGGTTAGTCTGATGGAGTAAAGAATGCCATGTTCATTTGGAAGTTTCATCCTTGCATTGGTAGTGGTTCTTTATAATTTAGAAGCATAATGGAATAAAGGCTGGCATATATAATTGCAGGTAACTGGAGATTTTGAACAAGAGAATTCGGTCACAAAGGGCAGCAATATTGGATCATTCCTTGGTTGGGGAATGACAGCTATCTACTTGGGTGGACGTCTTCCACAGATTTGCCTAAATGTAAGGATAGCATTTATGATTGTTATAACATCATTTCTGAGTGCATGACTACCATGGTCGACATCTAACTTGGTTTTGTGCAATTTCTGCAGATTAGAAAGGGAATTGCCAAGGTCAGTCATGATACAAGGACAAAAAAATGAAAATGTTACCTTTTTAATTCATGTTTTAAATATTTGACCATTCTAACAACTAGCAAACCCCAATTATGACATCCCTTCACTCCCACTTCACACCTCGAAATGCACTGTTCTTATAGAGTTAAATGCGCTTAACAAGCATGAAACGTATGCTTGCATATTTGTCCAGAGGTGAAATTGGATAAGTAGGGTATTTCTGTCCAGGTGCAGGTAGTCCGCATCTTCACATACGTGTCTTTTTCACCGAGCCTCTCTCTGAGACAGTGCTCAAATTGTTAGAAATCCGACGCTTTGATAGAGTAAAAGACATAGAATGGAATGATTTTGAATATCGATTTATCAGTAAAAAACCTTCTCCAACTTTTCAATTGTCCAAACAAGAACTTTATGTAAGAGTCGAAGCACCAAAAGAAGAATTGGGAATTTTTCTGATAGGAGTTCAGAGTGTTTTTCCTTGGTGATGGAAAATTCGCCAATAGCTCAGCGCTAGGATGAAAAAAACCTTAACACCTCTCATTCTGATTCCTTTTTCACAAGCATGAAATTTGAAATAATGTCTGATATGTGTATGTAAATGGTGTTTGTGCAACAATCTTAATAAGTTGAGCAGGGACTGAATCCTCTAATGTTTGTCTTCGCTATATTGTTGGCAATGCGACATATGCTGCAAGATAAGATAATACACTGCTGAATTTTTCGCTTACCCTTCCAACATTTGATTTCTTTGAGATTGTACATTACTTAATTTTATTATATTCTCAAGTAACAAGTTCCAGACAAGAATCTCCATTTCCATTTCATATTTATTTTTGATCTCGTGTTTTCTGTTCTGTGGTATACTTGTTAGCAGCTTAAAGGGTCGAAGATAAGACCCAATCTGCCATGTGCTCCTTGATACTTTTGTATCCTTTATTGCATATCTGTTCGAGAGTTTCAATATTCGTATTATATTATAATTCTTTTCTGGTATTGTGTGCAATCCATCTTGAACATAAAGAATGATCTGTGTAGGTAGATATCACTGTATATTATATTAAGCCCATGTTTGGGCTCCATTTTTTCAAAATATTTTTTTTTCCCGAAACTGAGTTTTAACCACACATTCTTTTATAAAATAATGTTATATGTAAATCCAAAATATTTTCTTATTTTGTAACCACACATTCTCGAAAAATCACCATTCCAAAAATACTATTTTCTCAAATTCTCATTAAAATGGAGCCCAAACCGGGGCCAAGTGTTCGCTACTTTCTTAATTTCTTGGTCAGATAATGATTCAATTTATCTATTACGGCTATCGATCATCTAGAGATGTTGGGAAGAAATATAGCTCGAATGGACAATGATAAACACAATTAGAGGTAATTTGTGCACCTCTTCAATTGTGTCGTCTGACAATATATCGTCTATTTGTAAGGGAAAAAGATATTTGTACACCCAATACCTTATCGTATGTTTTACACCCTCTCACAATGTATGGCAGCCGTGCATGAATTTAAAAATGCCGACATGTGGTTCCCAGATCATCTAGAGATGTTGGGAAGAAATATAGCTCGAATGGACAATGATAAACACAATTAGAGGTAATTTGTGCACCTCTTCAATTGTGTCGTCTGACAATATATCGTCTATTTGTAAGGGAAAAAGATATTTGTACACCCAATACCTTATCGTATGTTTTACACCCTCTCACAATGTATGGCAGCCGTGCATGAATTTAAAAATGCCGACATGTGGTTCCCACCCCTGTTGTGAGCAGTAGGTAAAAGATTCGATAAAAAATTTCGGTACGTATAGCATTGTCCATTTGTAAGACTGTTCTAGCATTTAACTTGTGTATCTCGCTTTTTTCCCCTCTACAAAATTTTAGATAATTGTAAGTTATGTCTTTATCCAAGATTTCAATACTAGTACGGGCTTCTTTTCATCATCTTGATCGAGCATGCATTATTTGGTGAGAATTTTATATATGGTAGTGCGATTTTCTTGACATGGTTTTCGCATTATAAGCTCCCACGTGGATTGTTTTTATATTCAACTTGCTCTATCTTCAAATACGAGACTAAGTTTTTACTTTTTACCGATATCATCATCAGTTGGCAATTTAATTTAGCGTCAAAATACCGACCAATCAAATTAAAGAATCAAGATGTACTGTGGGTTTTGGCCAGGAATCTCTGTTGAGAGTGTACAAAGGGTACTATCTTATTCTGTTCAATGTCTACTGAAGTGTATTTCTGAAATTTTCTTTGAAGAATTTTGTCCCCGCATTGTTCCTTGGTAATATACCTACCTTAATTATTAGCACACCAACATAAGAAATTCTTGATATTTTATCGAGTAATGTTTGTTTCTGATCTGCATTGTTCACATCTCATCATCTTTTGTTCATTTCGGTCCCTGACCACATTCTTTCTCCTTGCCATTCGATATAATCATTCTGTTGGAGGCTCGAGTCGACAGCCCATGAATGCAGATGACCATACCTGTTAGAATTATTAGTTACTTTATGTTATTTGTATTTATGTTATTTAAGATCTGTTCGATAGTGATTATGAAAATTGATTTTTTTATCGTTAAATAGAAAAGTGGGTCACATCTGTAAGTGGAGAAGTCAAAAATAACGGTTGAAATAGTGAAATAACGGTCAAAAAATCAACTTTTTGAGGTGGAAAATTGCTATCAAAGGGGGACTTAATATTGTTAAAGGTAGAATGTAGTTTTCCTTGTTTGGTTAGGGTAGTTGAGCCATTTTACGATTCGACTATTTAAACTCTTGTAATATCTATCTCTCTCTTACATGACTTTTGCTCATTTGATTGGAATCCTAGCCTCCCTTTTGCTTTCTTCTTCATCTTGTAATCATGAAATCCACGATAAGAGGGCTTTTATCTAATTTTTTTCGTTGATTCGTTTTCTCCTCCATCATCTTGGGCGAGTTCGTTGCTATATTTTCATGTGAGGGGTGTTCTCTAAATGAACTGGGAAACAACAAGAGCTTGTTTAGATGTATTCTTGATGATTCCATTGATATGCAATATTCTGCAAGAATACTCTATTTTTTGGTTACATCTTTTTTTATAATTCTATTTTAATAATCATTCAAGAAACTCTATAAATATATTCTAGAGTTTCTTTCTGTGTAGGAATTGAATTATAAACAGTAACAAGATTATTTGTCAATCATTGATATCACAGGAAATTAATTTTATTTGTATTTATTTTTTTATTTTTTAATGAAAGGAAGTTAATATTTTGATTCTGCATACCATGTAAGAGTTTATCCAAGATTTCTACATTGTCAATGTAAATTGTCTGGAAATCCACAAATTTAACTCCGAAGAAAGAATTGAAATCTTAGATTAAAACTGTTCAAACAAGATTTTAACATGCTTCAAAAGGATACCATAATCTTATCCCATCTATCAATGCTGAAGTACTTGAATCAAAACAAAAATTTCAACTTCAATAATCCAATCCTAAAATCGAATCAATTTTAGATATGTACTAGGAATTTTCAAAAAGAATCATCAAATAAATTACACTCTGCTTATAATTTATTACTCATTTGAACTCATAAAACATTAAAAAGACTTGAAAAAACAACCTGAATGGACGATAGACACGTTCTCGTGCTATTGATAAGGCTTTTCAAATCTCATGCTGCAAAAGCAAGTGACAAGCCAGTAGAGTAAGAACTTGCAAGTGGTGGCTTATTTGCTTTCTGTGGCCTACCATTCATGTGGCCTGTTGTGGAAATCAATGGCAACGGTAGGCCATCCGGCACGAGTTTTACGGGCTGTGGCCCCACGCTCACCGCCTTCTCATGTCGACAGCTCAATAATCCGTTCCCCTTCCTCTTAGCTTCATTGCCAGCAGTGCCGTGGCTGCAGGTGGCTTCGCCATTTTTCTCCTCCAATCTTTGCCGTAAAAATGCTACATGTCCAATTTCTGAGGCAGAGATGGAGAAGTTGGTTACACTTGCTCTGTCAAAGCCCTCGGCGGTGGTGACACTCCAGTCGACGCTGACTTCACTTGGTGCGCAACACTCGGTTGCAGTAATGCTCGGTGTTTGATGCTCTTCCAGACTCCTCCTGCCGTAAAAAGTACTTTCACTGCCATTGGAAGATACGAATCTTCTTGCATTGAATGTAGGATTGTCATCAAGCGAATCCCTCCTTCGATACATTGGATATGATGTTGTTTGAGTCGAAAAACTTTCAATTTCAAATAAATCTGAACTTGCATCACTTCCCACATCGTCGTCTGTGGCTGCAACTCGAGATATGGGGCTTCCTGGCATTGTAAAACCTCCAATTAGACCTCGTTGAGGATCCATTGGAGTTCTAGAAATTGATGTCCTTGTTGGTTGGAAAACTTCCAACGAGTCGCGAGGTGGATCTTCTAATGGACTAACTAGTTTTGGACTTATTCCTTTCAACGTAGGCACAGTAGCCGGGATAGAAGGGCTCAAAATAGGGAAAGAAAACCCCCCGGTGCCATCACCAAAAGGCCTTCCTGATAATGATACGCGTTGTGGAAATGCCGGGGTAGATGCAAAATGATTCTCTGATGAAATCTTTTGAGGGTTTGATGTCACTTTCTGTTGCATTTCCCTCATTTCGTTTGGAACTGAATTTTTGAGGGACATATTTCTTGCCTTTCCTGCCATATCTCTGGACTTATGGCTCTCTCTATTTGCATACACAACACGTTCTGAGTCCGATCTTTCTTCTTTAACTTGTACACATTTCTTCCCACTGCAGCAACATTTTCTCCCAAAAGTCCATTTTTTGGCATTAGAACTTCTTTTCTGGCCATGATCAGGTGGAAAATTCTTCAGCTTAACTGCAATGGAACCTGGAGAATTCGCCAAAAGCCCCGTCTGGCTATTCCAACTGGCCTCAGACGATGCTGTAGGCGTAGCATGGAAAGATCGTGCTTGAAAATTCCTTCCATATCCATCAATAGAAGAAACTGATGACAATCTTGGAACTGATACTGCATCAGATGGCTCTGACGCATCTTTCTGACTTGTAATAGAAATTTTTCTATCTTTTGGATCATTGTTTTCACTGAAGTACTTCTGGGCATCAAAAATGCTTATCTCAGTATCATTTTCTTGGGAATTCTGTTTAGTATCTTTGGGTTTGAGGTAGGATGAAAAGGATACATCTGTAAAGTTATTTTCTTGAACAACAGATCTGTAATGAAGAGAAGTATCTACAACACTAAACATTGGCTGCTGAGGGGAATTGTACTTTAAGGTTTTGATTATAATTGGTGAATCCACAACTGGTAAAACACACACTTCTCTTTGTAGTTTATAATAGAACTGATTATAGAGACTGAAAGTGTTTCTGAAATTCCTGACCAAACTGGCTTTATGTAGACTGGCTCACTTAGAAGAAACTATCAGGTGAAACAGTCTATACAGTAAAATAAGGAAATTTTGGTAGCCGTGGTACCCAAACTTATGTAATAAATTATGTGGGACTCCGACCAGTTATTTATTGTCTTCAGTCTCCAAATTTTCTTCTTTGTGAACTTTAGTCCCCTTTCGATGAAAACCATCAATTTTTTTCGTGAATCATGTATGCGTGTGAGAACTTATTTGCAAGTTATCCTCTAAACTTTCGTTCTAATTTGTGAACATTAGTCCCCTTTCGATGAAAACTATCAATTTTTTTTGTGAATCGTGTATGCGTGTGAGAACTTATTTGCAAGTTATTCTCTAAACTTTCGTTTTGATCTGTGAACATTAGTCTCCTTTCGATGAAAACTGTCAATTTTTTCGTGAAACATGCATGCGAGGACTTTATTTGAGAGTTATTTTTGTCGATGCACTTCATTTATAGTGAAAGAGAGAGAAATGAAGTGATATCTTTATGTATTCGACCCTTTCTTGTCTAGTTTTAAATAATTTCTAAGAAAACAAAGAATGTTAAGTTCTTGTGTGATCAAATTTCATTTTTAACCATAACTTATCTTGAATCACAACTTCTTTATTTCTTAATCACACATTTTAAGAAATTCACAGGATTATAATCTAAAAAATTTTGCCGAAGAGGGAGTGAATGATAATAACTCTATAATGTGACATAATAATCCCTGATTTTTATATATTTTTCAAAACTAATTAAATCAAGATGGAATCAACTAGTTCATTCGATTTTGCTAAAGATTTTAAACAATTCTGGTTATTAATTCTAAGAATAGACTGATTTTTGTTGGACTTCGATTCTAGTATCAAGAACCAAGAATCAGATCTAACTCACATAATTTAATTAATTATATTAGTTTTTTAATTTGGATAATGATATTTAGCCACTATTTGGTATTGATTTAAATCAGATTTTAATCAAAGTCAAACAATTAATATTAACCACACTTTTCATGGATCCCACAACCTTTTAACCACACATTTCAAAAAATTTTATCAAAATTTACGAAAAATCTAATTTAATCCTCACCAAATAGGCTTGTGTAAAAATAAAACTTTTCATTTGCATCGAATGAGACATATTGTTTTGATTTTGGATGCGAGTGTTTAACTCGGGGATAGAACTTTATATGATAATTTGCATTAATACATTATAAATTTAGATTATGCAACCAAATTGGAACCTTTCGTTCATTTTGGTTTGGTTCCATAACTACTAATGAATCTAATGGATCCATTATTAGAAGAATCATTGCATCTTGGTTCAATTCCGATTCTTTTCATAACTAAACCAAAAGGAACCGGCCAACCCCTACCCGCGCGCTTTATTTGTGAAAGTTTAAGGTCTGCAACTGCAAACTTTCTCAAAAGCTTCTACACAATACTTCCAATTTTTTTCTCCAAGATAGAATTTTGTGACAATTGAGATCATGTTGTGTTTCTTATGGTCCAAAAGTAATGCATAATTGTACTACATATAATAAAGGGCCCCTCTTGATCAAGAACTTGCTGCCTAATACATGAATGTTATTTGAATGGTTCATGTTATGCCACGTCATCAAATGTTTAGTTCCTCTCACCAACCCCAATCGTTATTGAATTTTTTTCATTACAAACGTATACCTTCTCTATTTACTCAAAAAATACTGCAAGTTATTTATCGGCACATTTGTTGCTTCCTCTTCTCGTAGGTTTAGAAATAAGATCCTCTATTAATCGAGGTAGAATTGACTTAAGAGGTAATCATTTTAAATTTTCGTCAACAAAAATAAGATATCATAGCTTTTAATAGAAAGATTCTAATCTTTTCAGCAGCAAATTGCATTGATTTTCAAAGGGCGGGGCCATGATAGTTAAATAATTATAAATATCAATCTTTTCGTCCGTCGGACAGCAGATCAAAGCTAGGCTATTAAAAAGATAATGGCTTGAGTCCATCATTGAATTTTCATCGTTATCTCATTAATTTTTGAAAAGAAAGCTCGTCGCAGATCATTCGAAAGAAACAAGTGGAAAAAAAACCCCTTCATTTTTGGTAACTCTCATGACCCCTCATTTCATGTGGTTTCCCTATCATCTTGTGGTATCAATGCTTGGTGTTCTTTGCACAATTTGAACTGAGGGTCCAAAATAATGGCTACACAGTTTGGAATTTAGTTAGGACATTCTAAAATAGAATTAAAAATAAGTTATTCTGGCCATGCCCATCTGCATTTGGAATTTGTGCCAAATTTGTGGGGGCAGCAATTATCTCAGAACTAACATGATTTTGCTTTGTGTTGGGACACCTTCATGTGTTGTTAGGTTGGGAACCTGACATCATGTCATAGATAAAAGTTGTACTGAACAATCTAGAAATATTAGTCTGTTTTGCGATTTTAAAAAAAAAAAAGGGGGAGGGAGGGGGGGGGGAATTAAATTGTGAATAAACCCTATCAGCAACAAATTTCCATCAAATAAAAGGATGTAGAATAGACAATCACAAAATAAAACTAAATTAGTTTAATCCAAATAAAAAGTTTATCACAAGGGACTTCAATAGAATTTCAAGTCCCATTTTGTGCAAGTTATTCATGGCATTCTCATTCAAGAGTGTTCATTTCAATTGAAGTCGACATCTATTTGACCAAAATCACCTCCTATGCAGGAGAGGTTAGTTTGAGTAGCTTAGAGCATCTCCAATAATTAGGGTTAGGTAAAACCCAACTCAAACCGCTAAATCAGACCAACCCAAACCAAATCAATCGGTTTGTGTCGGTTTTTTAAGTTCAATTGGGTTGGAAAATTGAATTTGAGGTTGGGTTGGGTCTCGGGTTATGAATTAAAACCCAAACCAACCAACTTTACCCCATGAATTAAAAAATTAATATCTAAGATGGAAAAAAAATTTTAAATAGACACAATAGTAAAGATAAGAAAATGACTTATAATTTATAAACATCAATTTTCTTCACATAAACTGATTCGCATGAACACTATGAACAAGTGCAAAGTGTATTTGATGATAAAGTAAAAACTAAAGATATGATGATGAAATGAATGAATTCCAAAAACTTGTAAAGAAGAAAATGCTTCATAAATTTTAAACTTATTTATACATTATTTTTAAAAAGAATTCCTTATATACGTGTTTAAAAAACGGAGGTTTTCAATTAATTTCGAACTCTAAAAAATTATCCAAACACAAATAAACCGGATCCAACTTTAATTGAGCCAAAACTCAAACCGGCCAACCCGACCAAAACGGGATTGGTTTAAATCAATAATTGGGTTGTGGAAAAAACCAACCCGACCCACTCCCACCTCTACCAATAATGATGTAAAATTGGATGTAAAAGGATATCTTCAAAATCATTTTTGCATCCAGATTTACACCCCAATGAATCTAAATTCAAATTATGCCCTAATGGAAAGATTTAAATTCATTGTATTCTTCTTGTGGATGTAAAAGAAGATATAAATTTGTATCTTTTAAAATATTTCTATTGAAAATACAATTTACATTTCCTATGCATCTCCCCATTGGAAAGATTTTTGACAATTTTAAAGATTTAAATCTAATGCTTGCTCATTTAAATTTCACTTAATGATGACGTTAAATGTGTTAAAATTGAAAATGATTTAAAATACTACATTGTACAAATAACAAAATCAATTGAGCTTAAAAGTAAGGGTCTTGTAAAAACTCATTCAAACTTGACTTAAACAAGATAAATAAAAGTCTCATGTCATTGTTTGATTCAGTTGGAAAAGCGAATTAAAATCTAGATAAAGATTAACAATTAATTTTAATTATATTTTATGAAATTCACAACTTTTCAACCACATATTCCATTAGCTTTTATCAAAAAATTTACTAAAATTATGCATTTCATCTAAACTAAACTGGGGCTCAATATTTCTTGTGCATGCTTCTTCTGCAACAGTATGTTTTATACCGTTGTGATCGTTACCCTAAATTTTTTTTGATGCGTGTCACATATATTATCTCGATCTATTTTATTTCCCAATGATTATTACTTACAAATCAGCTAAAGGTATAAAAAGGGATTGGAAGAACCGTTTAAAGTGTTTGAGAACTTCCACATGCATTGCAAGAAGTTTGGAGAAAATCATAATAATAGCAGTGTGGTGTAGGGCAGGACAAAGCTCTCGAATTTGTCCCGAACTGACCCGAATTGAACCGAATCGAAGGGTTCTTCTTAAATTAAATACCTAATCGGGTATCTGAATCGATAATCGGTGGATTTGGTTTAATTCTCGATTCTAGATTAAGAACCAAAGAATAAGATCTCCCTAATTTTTAAAATTTATTTATTTTAAATAAGCTAAATTATTTTATTTTTTTTAAACAAATTTGTTAACTAATTAATTTAGCTCAAACTCAAAAGTATGATTTTCATATTTCTAATTTTCATTCTTTACTCAACTTAATCAAATTGATCTAAAATTTACCCATATCTATTATTTTATCGTAGTGTCATTTCCACAGTTCTGGAGAAATCGAATTGAAGCGTGACAATGCCTTTCTTAATAAGAACTCGCTATCTTCATTTTCATGTGATTTTAACAATCAAATTTATGAAGAACTCAACAAAGAGAGATGCGAAAGACTACGTTATTTTGTAAGAGCTAAAATTGAAAATGATATTAATTGAATTAATATAACTTTATAAATATTGAAAATTTTATAGTACGGAACTCGAGGAACCAAATAGAATCGAATCGAACTAACTAAACTGAATGGAATCAAACATAAACGGTTCCATAATTAAATTTGGACCCAACGATTCCACTTATTAAATATCCAAAAATTTAACGAGAACTGAATCGAATCGGACCATGTGCACTCCTAGTTTGGTGGGACAAAATAGTCTCACTAATGTGAATCCCAGAGTTGCATATGTTAATTATGGTAGCTTGGGATTAAGTCCAGCGATTTTTGGTGCAAATTTGAATACTGCTGGACTTTGGATAGCACAAAATCTGGGGATTGGTTTGGTCGAGAATGCCAGCATGGCCTCAAGGTATCATCCCATGAGTTTGGTGGCCTAAAGATTTGGTGGAAATTATGGGATAAATACTACAAGTCCAAGAATGATAGAGTGTTATGCACTGCAGGCAACTTTGCAGGGACTGGGGACCTATCAGAATGCTCAAATGGGTCAGAGTCATGTTCAATCGATAGTAATAGCTGTTGTTTTAGGAGTCAATCCCGCTACTCAGCCAGGGTTGAAAACAGGGTTGAAAACAGGCAATTAAAAATTGGTGTGGTGGCCCACAATTATTATAATTCAATAAAAAAAAAAGAAAAGAAACCATCAGAAAATAAAAGAAAGAAACTGCAGGACCAAGAACTGTTTCTCATCACTTCATTGCTCTCTGCTCCCAAACCCTGAAGAGTACTCCTGCAAGCGCGCCTTCGTCGACCAGCCGGAGCAACCATCGCGAGGCGGAGCACCCATCACCGGTTGGAGAGCCGGTAGTTAGCTGACGAAGAAGAGGGAAAATTGGAAAAAATGAACTAATTTTTCTCCTATTAATGATTTTGTAAAGAAATTATTAAGGTATTCTGAAAATTTTGAGACACCCAAGAGATTTTAATTTCTTTTCCTTTCAAGTTCTCCAAAAACAGGTAAGATCTTATGATTCTTTATTTTATTAGCCACCTTCATATTTAGTCGTTTCGGTTTGCAGTAATTTGTCAATAACGTGTTAGGTTTTCAAAATTTCTATATTTGATGCCATAGAATTTGAAATGGAACTCTAATTTACTAGAATCTCAGTTGGTTGATATATTTGGAAGGGTGAATCGTGTCTTTTTGTGTCTTCTTCTTTAGGAGATTTGTGTGTGCTTTGAACTGTAGTATACAGGAATCTCAGTTTGTAGATTTTTACTTCTTCTATCATGCTTTGAATTTGTTATCACTAATTCATTGATTTGTGAACGATAACGAGCCACGGGGTAGGCTATTTATTTGGTCTGTGTGTAAAGATGTAAATTTAGGTAGAAGGTAAATATATGCTTGTACTAATTTTGTGATTATTAATTGGATTTTTGGTGATTGAGTAATCTTTATTAGGACTTATCTTCATACAGTAGAGATATAGTGAATTAACTCAATTGAGTACAATTCATTTGAACTTGGGAGTGAGTATACGTGCTCTACATCTCTGGATGCATGTCGGTTATATATTTTTATTTGACTTATTTTCTGTACTGATCTGGCTCAGCAAAAATCTTCTGTTTTGATTGGGTAATTGGAGAATCTCCATTTCTGCCTTGTGTTGAAGCTCACTAGTTTTATGTTGGTTGTTGATACATGCTATGGTCCGAGTATTCTGAATTTGGTATGATTTTTTATTCCCATCGTAGAATGCCCGAAAGGAACTCCGGAATCTGTCATAGTTGTAGAGCTAAGGATCATATGTTTGCCGAATGCAAAAAGAAAGGCCCTTGCCCGCGATGTAAGTATGGATTTGAAAAATGTTTTGTGGTGGAGAAGGAAAATCACAATAAGGGGAAAATATTCCTTTGCTGCAGCCGGAATTGTGGATTTTGGGAGTGGGTCATGAAAGAAAACTCAAGCGGTCAATGTAGTCGTGATAGCGCAACATTTCATAACCCCGTGATGAATGACACTGCTGAAGAAATGTCCCGCATGTTCAAATCTCGGGTAACGATAAGTGACGAAGAGGAGCTTCAGATTTTGGTTAACGTGAGCATCAAGAAGGAGAAAATTGTTGCAAATGTGGACGCTAAAGGGAAGCGGCCGGCTTGACTTGAAGATACTTATCAAAGTGGCTAGCCTAATTTTCTCAATTAAAACCGAATCAGCTTGTCATTATTTGTGGAGGTTGAAAGTCTTGTATGTGATTAATTAAGTAAAGTAGTTGAGGTGTGTGGTGCGAGGTTGTATATCATAATAGCTTGGTACCAAAACAAGCATTTTTTGTAGGCAAACATTTGTACTCTCGCGACTTACTTACAGTTTACGTAGGGTACTTAATGTATTTAATACCTTTCCATTCGAATTGTTTATGTATTCCAAGTTCACAAGCTTAAATGAAGGCAAACATTGGCTGCCTATAATTTTTAACGAAGCCCAGGTTCAGGTTCTTTTTGTTATGAAATTGCAAATCATTTTTCAAAAGTGAGCTTAATCAAGTTGAGGCAGGCGTCAATGTTGAAGTCTCCAGCTCTGTCCCTTATGCTCTCTCCGTCCAGCCCGTTTTGTAAGCGAGAATGGACTGGAGTGCAGCTACTAAAAAAGAAGAGAATGGACTGGAGTGCAGCTTAGGGAACGTTTCAATTGTTTAAATTTACAGCAAAGCATTTTTACATCAAAGCATTTTTACATCTGTGTTTCAAAGTAAATTTACATCAAAGCATTTTTACATGTGTTTCAAATTGAATACATGGCTGTCATCCTAAAAATTTATATAAGAAAAAAAAAATTTCTCCATGTAAGCTAGGATTCACATTTGAGCAGCTCAGTAAATGGCAATAATAAACATTTCGAAACTATTTCATCATGGCTAGTGCAAGAACAAAGATGATCAGCTGTCCAGTACATGAAATCACACTTAATTTGAACCTAGAGCTGTCAACATTTCAAAAAAATTCAGCCAACTTAAAACTTGTGAAGTTGCCAAAATAGGCAAAGTAGTAATTGCCTTAATACTAGGAAATGCCAAAATACATCTTCATCCGAGTACTGTGAATTGAAACTCTTGATGTAAAAAAAATTTCAATCATAGCCCCCTTGCTATAGGCTGCCACCGTCATCCAATAAATTTTGATAGTAGTTCGTCAATGGTTGACCTACAATAGAATACCATAAGAAATAATTAATCATGTGTTCACAACATAATGAAATTTAAAACCGTCTACAACATTGGTTTATACCTTGTGAATTTTGCATGATTGTAGCCGCGGATGGAGAGACAAAATTTTGAAAGGGTACATGTTGGGAAAGGGAGAACGGTGTGGGCATGGACAGTTGTGACAAAGATAATGGTGTCAACATGTCATTGGACAAGTACGACGTCGGGGTCGGTATGGAATATTGTCGAGGCAACTGAAAGTTCATTGCGTCATCCACCACATTCGTATTGCTATTTCTTGGTCGCATAGTAGTGGATGATGTCCCGCTAGACTGCATTCACAGAGAATCGCTTAGATGTAAATTTAAACAATTGCAAATATAAAGCGCAGTTTTCGAGCATACCTTTGCTTTCTTAGATGCTGTCTCCAATGGGTTTCTTTTTCTAAGCTTCCTGGGCACACCCTTTCGTCGAGCTACTTGTGGATCCCGTATGCTTCCGCTCGCTAACTTTGACACGACTGCACAATCATTCGACACCTCCGTGGTACGCGACGGTATGGGATTACTACCACCACTAGATCTTGTAGTCATCATATCTTCACATTGAGATTTTATCCACTCCATTATTGCACGTGACCGCATTTCGTCATCTGCAGCAAGGTCTGCCACCTGTGCAAATCCCTTCGACATCTCTTCGTATCTTAATTGTGCAAGAGTAGTCTCTAACCCTGCATAGTTTACTGGAACTCTCGTGTGCGCTCTACGAACGTCCCTCCTCCATCTCCGTAAAATATACCGATCCGGAATACATGTGATGTCGTTCCAGTCCAGAACCGCTATTGCATGCCTACAAAGTATTCCCCTAAACTCAAACAAGTGGCAGTTACAAACAACTTCGCAATTATTTCTCACAAATGAGACGACACAATTTTTTCTCTTGCGACGACCATCATACATAATAGTCTCCCGTACATTATACGTTGTCTTAGAAGATCCTTCCGACGTAGATATGATGTTACAGTACACCTTACCCGTGAACTCTTCTTGAACTTCCCGAAATTTCGATATGGTGTAAACTGACTGAAACTGTTCTTCCATTTCGAACTGTGTTGCACACGGTATCATTTGAGAGAACGACTTGAAATCAGCTTGGAATTCCTTCTCGACCTTATTCCTGAGAGCACGTTCGTACTGTTCGACGAATTGCTTCAACGATGTCTTCGAATGCACATATCCATCAAAGAATGCATTCATACTCTCGCTTCTTTGTGTTGTTGACATTCCTGCCCAAAAAGTTTTTTTCAAAAAACAAGGCACCCAACGCCCTCTATTCTCATATAATCCTGACAACCAATTATTTTGCTGCAAACTATAGGTGTCAATCATCGCCATCCAACCTTCTTCAAATTCATGTTCTGACTGTGAATCATACACTAAATCATGTATAGCCCCAAATATCAAGCCCTTATCCACGTGGTATCCAAACTTCTCCGGGAGTTTCTTCAAAATATGCCACAAACACCATCTATGCTTCGTCCGCGGGAAGACAATCTCAATTGCATTTTGCATGGCTCTATCCTGATCGGTAATTATAGCTTGTGGAGCTTCACCATACATACACTGAAGCCAT